CTCCAGGACATGGAACACACCTTGGATCACAGACTTCATATGGTGCTGCATCCCCAGTAGGGGAACTACAGGATTTAGAAACCGAGGAGTAGAAGTAAAAGTGACTGAACTTAACCTGACCCCACCCCACCTACCATGATCCATTGAGGAAATTTATGGCTGCTGTCTCCAAAGGTCTCACCTGGAAAAGTTTTGAAATCCTTTTGTCCAATAAAAAACATCTTCCACCAAAGGGATACAGATATCGGCAGACAAAAAGAAGAGTCTCTATCACAGCTGTGGCAATTGACCTTAATCATCAAGAAAAGTCAGAGCTACAGTTACACAGTAGGAACAAGAAGGAGTATGCTCATCACACAGGTGATATATTTTTCTGGTTGTAACAGTAAATGAACAAGTGCAGCAATCAAAGATGCGGATCTGGGTTGTGCCACTAAGGAAGCAGCCTAGGCTAGCTCTTGAAGTGCAAGGGGTGCCTATACTTCCCAGTGGAGGAGAGAGACAATGAATAGCATTTGGGACCCTAGGACCTGCAGTAGTGCTAGGCGTTATCCTTTTTCCTCTTCTGAGATTATCCCAGAAAAAGAGGTCCACTAGGATCCAGAAGAAGATGCTCTCCTAACATAAGAAGAAGTGAATCCAATGTCTTGAGGAATGATCTATGATGAACATGGCGTTGCACCACTGAGCTTTGCCTTAGAGAGAAGACTTGTTGTCCAGCCTCTAAGGAAGCCAGTAGAAGATGGTCGTCAGCTGCCAGTCTACCAAGAATTGACTCTGCTACAGAGTCAAGTTGCCAAGGTTGCAACCTTCCTGGGTTGTGGATCCGAAAGGACATCACTCTACACCCAATGATTGGTTGAGGCAAAAGTATAAAGACCCAGACATTGCATTTTGTTACAGGACAATCTGATGAACTGTGTGGTAGCAGAATAATGCCCCCACCTACAGATATCCACATCATAAACCCTGGAACTTTTGAATATGTTCAAATGGCAAGGGGGAATTAAGGCAACATATAGAATTCTGTTTGCTAATCAACTGATCTGAAAATAAAGAGATTATCCTAGATTTTCTGGGCGAGCTCAGCAGAATCATGGGGCTCCTTTAAAGTAAAAGGAAGGCACATAAAGTCATCAAGTAAGAGAGATTTGAAAATGCTCTTAAGCCGACTTTGAAGATAGAGGAAGAAGCCAAGAGTCAAGGAATGCAGGCAATTTCTAGAAGCTGGAAAAGGCAAACATGAATTCTCCACTAGACCCTCCAGAAAGAACACAGTCTTGCTGAAAACATCGATTTTAGCTCAATGAGGCTCATTTCTGATTTCTGACCTCCAGGACTGTAAGAAATACATTTGGGTTGTTTTAATCCACTAAGTTTGTGATAATTTGTTCCAATAGTAACAGGGAACTAATATAGGCCATTTTAGCTCCAGAGTTATTGTGACATGGGTCAGACAAGTGTGCTCTGGGGCCCGTCACAGCAAGACTTCTGTCCTATCCTGCTGCTTTCACCACCTTCGCCCACATGTTGAGCACCTGAGAGCATTTCCTGGGAGCATCCTGCAAATGAAACTCGATCTCAGAGTCTCTGTCCCTGGGAACCAAACCCAGGGCAGATTATAAAAGCTCATGATGACTTCTTATGATTATGAATCTGTAAGTTATAAACATAAGTATAAAGTTTATCATTATTATCCCTTTTCAGTATTTCTCAAAAAGTATAATGCCTAATATAAACAGCATTGGCCCAGGTGAGACAATGTGAAGTAAATGTGAGGAAAATGGTCCCAACAGGTTGAAGCGAGTTTAGTCCCTGCTCTTGGTGCATTACTCTAAACTTTGCAGATTTAATTTCCCTCTCTCACCACCCCATCCCATAAATAGGAAATATAAAAACCTTCCACTAGATAGTATTAAGTAAGGTAAAATTATTTAAACATGTAAACCAGTATTTACTGATTTGCAGTAATGGCTCAGTAGAAGTTCGTTGAACTTACTCAACTCTACCTCACTGTTTTCTCTTACAGAAATAAGCTCATTTAATAATACATGAAAGATATCTTAGGATAAATAAAAGATAAATAAACTGGAGACTGGCAAATTTCTACCAAATTATATGATTCCGCTCTCAAAATGTGTACTTTAAGCCGAGAGCTCTGGAAGGTTGGTGTGACCTGGGAAGGTGAAGAAAGGCTTCCTGAGGGATATGGGAACTTAGCTGAGCTCATAAAAACACTGGAGAGAAAGAGAAGCAGACAGCGGTGTCCTAACTCCAATTCCAGCACGTGGTTCGGTAAACACAATTTGGAGGGGCAAACATCAGATAATTGAGTTTGCGCAATGCTGTGGTTGTTTTGTTTTAACTGGTAATGTATACAGGATATTTTGAAATGTATTGCATGAATATGAAGTGTTGTTATAACCAAGAGGAATATGAGAAGAAGCAAAAAGGGAATAAGGACAACAATGTTTAGCTATATGCTAATCTCAGATCCATATGAAAACCCTTTGAAAGTATGGTATAACCAGCAATGTTAGATTTATGGTCATGGGTATTGTTCATTTCAAGCTCCTACTTTCCATTTATCATCTTTATATTCATATAGCATCTCTATTTTTAATGTCTTAGAAATTTCTCCCCCTCCTAGTAATCTTTTCAGCTGAAATTTCACATGCTTCACATCAGCTCAGGAGCAAATTCTTTTCTGGAAGTTTGAACCTATCTGTTCAGCCATTTCTGAGTTACCCAGCCATGAGCAAATGTTGTTTAGGAAATTTGTCAGGATCTACTTTTTTGTGTGCTCAGATTTAATTCAGGATGATTTAAATTCAAATCTGCAGAGCCATCAGGCACATATCCTCTCAGGAGAAAAAACACTCTTGGCTTTGGGATATAATTGGTTGAGGTTTACACTCCACTTTCTCTCTATATGGAGTGTGGTTATGAAGAGAGCTACTCAAATCCTGGAAAATCCTTTGGGTTTCCATACCTTCCACACATGTTGTATTTTTAAAAATGCTTTTTGTTTCTTTCTTTTTTCCCTTCTACAAACCATTGATGCTCTAGGAGGATTTGAGGGATAGCAACACCTGTCTGGCTATATTGACAGACAATAATAAAAGTTTTATTCTATGAAAAAATTAGAAAAATATAGATTTATAATATTTATTTATATTTGGGAACTTGGGCACTGGTCCTTCTATTATAGACAGGAATATTTGTGTTGCTGGTAGCATCCATTAAGCAAAATATTGGGTATATTGACAAAGTTATCCAAGACGACATCCTGTAAGTGTGCTAAAATACTGAAAACTTACAGAATGAAAAAGAACTAAAGCAGGAATGGGTGCATGGGGTGGAGAGAGGAGTGAACAGGGCAGAGAAACCTTTGTGACCTAGCACATGGTCCCAAGACATATGAATGTGTTCCGATGACCTATTACTGAATGACAAAACACTGTGAAATTTACTGGCTTAAAACAACAACGATCCCTTTATTATCATCATATTGTGGGGGGCTGGTTGGGCTCAGCTGATCAGTTTTCACTCAGGGTCTCTCATGCAGTTGCAGCGTCTAGCACTAGCACCCTCTCAAGACTCACTCATTCACTCACCCAGCTCCCGGGCTGGGAAAGCTCACACATCTCAGGCTCCTTGGGTTTATCTTTCTGGCTTCTGCCTCCTCTCCCCAGCACAGCAGGTTCAGGGTGGCCAAACTTCTTTCAAGGCAGCTCTGGACTTTATGGGTGTGTGTCCCAAGTGAGAGAGTCAGGTGGAATCTGCCCTGACTGTTCTAACCTGGCCTCACAAGACAGTCACAAAGGCCCCATTCAGTTTCCAGGGGAGGCGACAGGTGCCACCTCTTAATGAGAGGTGCACCAAACAATCTGCCAGTGTGTTTTCAAATCACCACAGGACTTCATAGACCTCTGGCAGAAAGTCTGGGACAGAATAGTGAGTCACTCACACAACCACAAACTGGTTCATTGTGGGACCTTTCATGCTGTGGTGGAAGGATACTCATGTTTAGGAGCTCTTTCAAAGTTAGACAGCCTGCCTGGGCTTGCCTCTGCCAGGACACTTACCGAGTCTGGAGGCTTAACCAAAAGTCAGTGTCTCCATTTTGTTACCTAGAAATTAGAGATAATGAGAGTTAACATTTATTGAGCTCTTAGCAGGTGACAGACCTTTGTCCCAAGTGCACTGTCTACTTACTATCTTATTTTATAACCAAGATAACCGTACCCCCTAAGTTACAATGTTGATAATAGGGCCATCTTTCAGGTCTGTTGCGCAGATCAAATGGGACCATCTGTTATCTTCCCTCTTGATGTTATTAAGGCTGTGTGGCAAATTCTGTTGATGCCATGTCAGGAGAGTGAGCTGGTTCCAGAAATGGGCCAACCGTGCACAATAACATACAGGAACGAAGATTGCGGATTGTTCCCACTCGAAATGGAAGACCAGTCTGGACTAAAGGAGGAGGCGGGAGGGGGGTGGTCAGATTTCTTGAAAAGACCAGCCAGTCCAAGTCGCACTTGGAACTATGCGTGCAGAAGAACCCAGCTCATTTTGCAGAGTGGGACCAGGAGCACCGTTTTGAGTTTATAAGCGAGACTCCTTTAAAAAGGAGTTCAGGACTGCAGGCTGTTGGAAGCGTTCTAAGGGGAGAACACTTGGCCCTCTGCCCAAAGCGTTCCCGAGTGTCAGGGGCCGGATGCACGGAGCTGACACCTTTCCCAGGCGCCTCTTGTGTGTTCTGCCTTCCCTCGCGTCCCCGTTGCCACCCATGGCTCCCTAACTCCCTGAACACACCTTCCTCTCCCCCCTCTCTCCCAAGGTGCCTACTCCCGCGATTGCAGAGCGCCCATCTTCCCAGCCCCGGCAAAACCCGGAGAGGCGGAATCCCTCCCCGGGAGCGCCCGGGCGGCCACTGGGCATGCTCCGTTGTCAGGCTGGTCCGCAGCTGCGAGCAGCACTGGAGCCTCACGGATTTCTCCTGCCGCCGCGCGTCCGCCTCCTCCGGAGCTGGGAGCGGGCGCATGATGGCGGCGGCGGCCGGGAGCGCTAGCGGCGGCGGCAGCAGCGGCGGCGCGGGCAGCAGCAGCAGCGACACGTCCAGCACCGGCGAGGAGGAGCGGATGCGGCGCCTCTTCCAGACGTGCGACGGCGACGGGGACGGATACATTAGCAGGTACTGTGGGAGATAGAGAGCGGCTGGGGCGAGACCCGCCCCTCCGCGCTGCCCTTGACCCCTCCTCTGCCCTCGCGCCCCAACTTCCAGCAAGTAGCTTAGAAGCTCACGGGAAAAGTTGGCTGCGACTCGGAGAGCGCGTCGCCGGCTGGGTCACAGAGGCCGAAGGGCCGTTTTACTCGCCTTCCGGAGCTGCCAGCTGGTCCAACTTTTCCCAGCGCTGTCTTTGTCTGGGCGTGGGGAGACATCTCCTTAGGATGCGAGCCCGCCCCTGGGCGTCGGAGCGCTCCTGCCTGTGGGAAATGGGTTCTGGCAGCTTGTCCCAGGTCAGGGGGTGCTGCTGTGCAGCCTCGGGCTCCTGGGTGTCCAGGTGCTGTGGCACTGGGCTGCGATCTGCCCGGAGGACAGCGCGGGGGGTGGATCAGGATGGAGATGCGCTCTCAGTGACAAATTGGACATGAAAACAAGCTGTGAAGAACTTTCATGTGTCACGGAGTCTCTGTATTCCAAACTTCGGCGCTCGGAGAAGTAGTTTGTCTCCAGTACTGATTTAAACTTACTAGCCCGAAGAAAACGAAGCTCGCAGGCGCACAATGGGGAGTTAGAGGAGAGTCAGGAATACAGAGCATACTTCCTACCCCGCCTCCGCGCTAACCAGGTGAGCCTCCAGACGGGTCTCGGGGCTGCACCGCAGCACCTCTCAGAACCCTCGCGGTGTTTGCTTCAAGATCCCCCTCCAGGGGCAGTGTTTCGGTGGACAAGTCTTCAAGCCTCAGGACTTGTCAAAATAATTACTTCTGTCCAGATTTTCATCACTTATCAGGCACTGGTGGTGAAGAAGGCAATCGTAATGTTTCACGGCACGCTTCTATGAAAGGTTGAGAACAGGCTCTGCAAACCTTAGTCCCCGAAATTTGAATTGCCTTAGAGGAAGTAGGCAGCCTAAGTTGTGTATTGCACCTGTATGTTGCATTTTTGTGTATTGCATCTTTGTCTCGGTGATGCTAAAGATCTTTGAAAATTCTGGGTTTCCTCCTACTGATTGTCCTTGCTTCTTTAAAGAAAAAACTGGGGAATTGCCCCCTCCACAAAAAAATTTTTTAAAGATCTCTGAGACAGGTAATTTGACAGGTAAGAATTTCACAGTTAGAAAAACAATTATTTACTTTGAACTTTTGACTGAATTATGATCATTCTCAGCTGAATTTTATTACTTTTCTTTTTTTTAATTTATTTTTTTATTGATTATGCTGTTACAGTTGTTCTATTCAGCCCCTTCATTCCCCTCGACCCTGTCCCCCGTCCCCACCATTACCCCCCTTTAGTTTATGACCATGTGTCTCAAGTTCTTTAGATTCTATATTTCCCATACTATTCTTGCCCCCCATCTATTTTCTATCTACTGTCTATGCTACTTATTTTCTGTACCTTCTCCCCTCTTCTCCTCCCACTCCCCTGTTGCTAACCCTCCTTGAGATCTTCATTTCTATGTTTCCACTCCTGATCTAGCTGTCCTTTTAGTTTGCCTTTGTTTTAGATGTGGTTGTTAATAACTGTGAGTTTGTTGTCCTTTCACTATTCATGTTTCTTTAACTTCTTTTTCTTAGATAAGTCCCTTTAACATTTCCTATAATAAGGGCTCGGTGATTATGAACTCCTTGAATTTGATCTTATCTGAGAAGCACTTTATCTGCCCTTCCATTCTAAATGAAAGCTTTGCTGGATAGATCAATCTTGGTTGTAGGTCTTTGAATTTCATGACTTGGAATACCTCTTTCCAGCCCCTTCTTGCCTGTAAGGTCTCTTTTGAGAAATCTGCTGACAGTCTGATGGGAACTCCTTTGTAGGTGACTGTCCTCTTATCTCTTGCTGCTTCTAGGATTCTCTCCTTCATTTTAATCTTGGCTAATGTAACGATGATGTGCCTTGGTGTGTTTCTTCTTGGGTCCAACTTCTTTGGGACTCTCTGAGCTTCCTGGATTTCCTGGAAGTCTATTTCCTTTGCCAGATTGGGGAAATTCTCCTTTATTATTTGTTCAAATAAGTTTTCCACTGGTGGCTGTTCCTTTCCCCCTTCTGGTACCCCTATAATTCGGATGTTGGAGCGTTTAAAAATGTCCTGGAGGTTCCTAAGACTCTCCTCATTTTTTTGAATTCTTGCTTCTTGACTCTTTTCTGTTTGGCCATTATTTGCTTTCTTCTGGCCCACTCCATTGATTTGAGTCCCAGTTTCCTTTTCATCGCTATTGGTTTCCTGTGCAATTCCATTCATTTCAATTAGTTTCGCCTTCATATGTTTGTCTAATTTGTGGCTATAATCAACCAGTTCTGTGAGGATCCTGATCACCAGTGTTTTAAACTGTGCGTCTGAGAGTTTTGCTATTTCTTCATCGCTTAGATTTATAGGCTCTGGGGCTTTGACATCTTCTTGAGCCATTTTTGGTCTGTTTGTGCTCGTTAAGTCTGAGGAGCGGAGCCTTGGATTCCCAGGTCGCTGGGTTTTGACGCTGTATGTGGAGGCGGGGTTAGAGCGGGAAATGGCAGCTCCCTCCGCTGCTGATTGCCGCTGGGGCTGCTGGCTCTCGTCCAATGGCCCAGTCCCTCGCTTGTCTATCCACACACGAATGCGCGACCACAGTCAACCCACAGCCCTGCTCCCTCGCTGTTTCCCCGAGGTCGCTGGCTGAGTTGCCCACCAGGTCCAACCCTGCGCCTGGATTCCGAGTGCCTGAGTTCGTCTGACCGAGTTTTCCTGTGCTGCCCCGCTCTGCCAGCTGCTGGTTTCACCCCTCTTACTGGTCAGGCTGAAGAATTTGTTGTTATCAGATTTCCGAAAAGTTCAGTTTTCTGTGTTCTGGCTGTGTTTTCTGTTGCTAATATTTAGTTGTCTCTAAACTTGGTTGTGTGAGGAAGCACAGCGTCTCCACCTATGCCTCCATCTTGGCGGAAGTCCCCTGAATTTTATTACTTTTCTAAAGCTTCATTGGGAACATTAGCAAGATATCAAAAAACTTTAGGGAGTAATTCTGTTCTGAAATGAAAAAATACTTGTAAGTCTAGTTGACCCCACATAGATTTTTATCTAGAAGTCTCTACCAGTTTTAGTTCTGGGGTAGAAAATATATACATCTAGATATAGATATAGGTATATAGATATATATCCTATAGTTTAGATTTGTTGGGGTGGTGTTCCTCCTTGTAAGGCCTTTATCTCATTTTCAATAATAAAAAGCAATCTGCATTCTTCACATTAGAATACCAAAAAAATGTAATTCACTTGGGCAAGAATGCATATAGAAAAGTAGTAGAATTCTCTTCTTCCTTTCCTCTAATCTGCCCTATTCATATGTTGCTTTATCTGATCTAGACTTTCTGTACAAATGCTTATAGTATTTTGAATGGTAGCTGCATCTACCCTGAAAGATGATGAATTCTGTGAGCATAATTTGAGGACTTTGCGTTGGAGAGTCAGGTGTTGTGTGTAAGGTGTTGGTGATACAGGAGATTTAGAGTAGAAACCTACTGGAGCAAAGGTGGGGGAAAAACTGTATTATTCCTTGAGCCAGATTGGTTAATGGACCCTAAACTTTAACTGTGGGTAGGGTTACTTTGGAAGTTGTGCTTCGACAGAATTCCCATGTAGGAGGATTTTAAGGATGCAAACTTATTGCAAGGGAGAACCAAGGAACTTCTCTTCAAGTGTGTTTATACAGCAAGCACAGTTTTGCCTGGAATACATGCTTTACCTGGAATACAGATAGTATGACTTGGGGCATGGGGTAAATGAAGGTAAGTGGCATTAGACGATTTCTTCTGCAAAGCTGCTGCTTTGTGCTACCCCTGTTGAATGACCTCTAGTGACTGCTCTGGAGTGGGTAATAAGATGTGGAATGCTATGAATTTTCTCTTTTATTAAACCTGAGAGTTGCACTTTCTACATTAAAACCTTAAATACCTTGGGTTCTTCGAAAGCTGTTCATCTTTATGTTCATGGTGCACAGCTGTCCCAGTGGGATTTCAGTTGGGTGTGTACAATAGAAGCCTCAGCACAGTCAAAGGTGGTTGACTTTCTCACCTAGAAGTCTGGGGTGGTCATCTAGGTTGAGACAGCCCTTCCACCATGGTGTCAATTCCCAGCTTTCTTTTATCCTAATGCATTGGCAGTCTTCACATAAAGCATTCATCCTCATGGTTACGCACAAGTCTTCAAATGATTGCTTTGTTTCCAGCCTCATTGCCAAGTTCTGTGGAGGAAGGTGTAAAAAGAAACTGAAATGAGTGTTGCCTATATCATTAAACAAAGCTTTCTCAAATCCCTTAATTGACATCTTATTGGTCAAACTACATCACCTTACCATGCCTTCTTGCAACAGAGTTCAAGGAAGCATGTAGTTCAGTTGGTCATATTACCTCCTAAACAACATTGGAGTTCTGTTACTAAGCAGGGAATGGATACTGGGCAAGTAAATAACCAAAATATCTACTGTAATAAATAACCCACATTAAACTGGCTCTGGTCCTTTGTCTAGCCCTCATTCTCAAGCAGGAATTGCGTTGAGATCGTATGTTTGGAGAAGGGATAAGTGAGAGATAGACTGGGTGCAGGACAGAAATTGTCAAGGTGCACCATCTCAGGAAGAGGCAAGTAAAAGTAGGGGTTTGAATATTCAATATTCTTTGGGCCCAACCTTCCCATTAGACTGACAAAAAAAAAAAGGCAACTGCTAACCAGAAATTCCTGGAATAGCTGCTTCTGCCAAGGAACTCCCAGCCTGCCAGAGGGACCTAGAATCATCCTCTTGGATATTTAAGCTGGAAGCGACAACTACCATCAGGTGAAGTCAAACCGTAGCTTGGATAGGGCAGGATTTGGGCTGCACAGTAGAACCACAGCAGGCTCTTCTGTGCATTTTGTTAGTTATGCAGGGACATAACATTTTGTGGTATTGAATTTTTGGACCCTATTTATGATGTTATAGGAGATTCTGGGGTTACTCTAT